CCCAAAAGCAGGAAAACACAGACAATGCTGAAGACGTTAACAAAATATGTTCCGAAAAGCAATGAAACATGAAATGCTAGTCTTTTACTTTCCTGGCAAACAGTCTACGCTAGGGAACAACCTTGTGGAACCAGCAGAGAGGCAACTTTCCGCAGCTGTGAGCGGGCTGCTCGTCTGGCTGCAGAGCACCTCTTCCCCCCTGCATTAGAGTGAGACTTCTTCGGCAGCGTCACAGGCAGCGTCACGGGAGGTCTGTGGGGTCAACGCAACGGAGCTCCTCCTGGAAATATTTCAGAGAGACAACCCAGATACTGTGTCCAGTGCATGCCACACCTTAACAGTTCATCCTGCGACCTACAACAATCTATGTAAATGACTTGCGTTGATCTGAAGTGATGGAGAATCACTCACCTACATCTCCCAAATGAACGGTCCCACTACGGAAACCCCAAACTCACCTTCCAGTGTCTCACAGCGTTTCAAAGTGCAATTTGATGGCAAACTCAATTGCTTCCTTCAGTTCAGATCTGTCTTGCCATAGACACAGTAGTATCATCCAATTTGTTCCTTGGTGAAATCATGAAACGCAGATACTTATGCTTTAAGATTTTCTGAAAAACTGACATTTTACCAGTCATAAATTAGAAAGACAGTTATACCTTTGCAAACTCAGAATAACTACACCCAGCAAGACTGGATGTATTCTGTAATTACTCATTGTAATCCCAAACATGCAGATCAAGATTATCTATTGAAATGCCAGGCATAAGTTATTCATTAACTAAAACCATTCTGTAATTTTATTGATATATTTTGTGGAGTTCACATATTTTTGTACAGCAAACATAACACTGTAGGCCACAAGAAGCTGCAGCACTATTGTTTAATAGCAGCAAGGTATATTTTATAATCAGGGTATGTGGACAATAAATAGTCTGTTTCTTTGGATGTGAATGTTTAAAATGAAGTTCTGCTGCAGCTTCATAATGTGATTGCTATTTTACAGAGCTTATACACAAAAATATATATGCAATCTTTTTGTCTATATTTTATACAAATACAACAGTAGTTTGTGAATACATTTTAAAGTACATATACATGATAAGCAACTCGATTTCCCATATCACAGGATAGCAAATTTTAAATGCAAGAAACATATACAAATTCAGTCTGGAATGCAGGGTTTTCTGTGTTCTTTTTTTTCTCTACTTTTGACTCAAAACTTTTATCATTAAAACATTTTAGCATACAAGTCCAAACAATTTTTCCACTAGCTAAAAATAAAATTTCAGCAATCTAAGTCAGGTTTGGGTGTGTCACCATTCCCCAATATACTTTTCCCAGTTTTTGTCTAAATTCAAAGGCTTTTAGTAATATATAGCATGTTCTTCACTCCACACCATATAAAAAGCCCATATTTAATTTTAACTAGCAGTCACCTATTTTTGTGAACAAGAGCTGGGCTTGTCAGCGTTTAAATTTGCATGTCCAAAATTTTACTTTTGCAAGTGCTTATGAATACATTGTGGTGTTGCACAAAGTTCATTAATGACAAATTAAGTCACAGTATAAAAATATATCATACAACTATAGGTCTAGTATAGTCCTTTTTTCTATGGGTAAAAATACATCTGCATGAGACAGGGAGGTTTGTAGCACCATGAGAGGAGTTGTATCCCAAGTTACATTAGCAGCATGATCCAATATAACAATATTGCAGGAGTGTTTCTGAGGAGATAAACATTCACTCTGGTTCAACTGTACCACTGAAGCTTATACTGAAAAGTGTTTACATATGATTAGCAATAGTTCTGTGTCACTTCCAGGGCTAGATAACTGTTATCAAAAGACACTGCCTTCCAACAAAAGTAAGACACCCTTATTGCATGAAAGCTTTGGGACTATCCAAACACATTTTGAACTACTGTGGCGTTACTTGTACGTTGAGCGTGATGCTAAGTAGGCTGTGGTTTTAACTGTACACTGGGAGGATGCAGGGTGGGCAGCTAAGCCTATATGGTTTACTACATACCAGATAAGTACATTTATTTCAGAGGCTTATCTATAGACTGAGAAGAATACAGGATGAGCTGCTAAACCAGTGTATGAGACAGACATAACGAAGGATGCAATCCTGCTCCCCTCAGCCTTTACGGATGCAGGATCAGGCCCTAAGTTAACGTCAGACAGCAGCATAGCGATGATAGGGTATGATAAAAAAAATCTGTATCAAATACTGCATGTTAAACATTTTTGCCATAGTTTACCATCCAGAACTCCAGAGGACACAGTTTGCAATTGGTGAGGACAAACTCCTAATTTTTTTTTGACTGGTATTCAAAATGGCAGTAGAAGACAGTGTAGTTTGAAACATGTAAACCTAGTAAAAAACATTGTAAAACCCTTAAGAAAGACACACTGGTTCTGTGCAATATAGCAAATTGATAAGAAAACACTGTAAAAATGTACCTGTTTAAAATTACAATGTCTACCATTTTGTACACAAAGCATTATACCAAAGGCCTACATATATGTAATCTAATGGCACTTGAAACAAATTATAATAAAAGGTTTTATAATAAAAAGCATAACCTGTAAGAAATTTTCTTAAAAGGTTTAGGTTTTCTTTTTGAAAGTGCTATATCTTGTAATATGTGTAACATAGAGGTTGACCAAGCTTTATTTTAAAAAATATTGGCCTATAATACATGTTTAGCTCACTAGGCAAATGATCCTGAAAATATGTACTCTTAACATTCATTATTAGCTTAATAAAGCAATCAGCTCTGGCTCATGTTTCAGTCAGTATATGGTTTTTAAAAACCGCTACTGCCAAATTAACAATAAATCACTCTATTCCAAAATTTACTACTAAATAAAGCACAAGCAACAAGTACACAAAAATATATATATTTAAAAAAAAAAACCTTACTAGAAGTTTAGAAGTTGCACAAAGAGTGGTGCATGATCAGCCAGCCCTCCCCCCTCCCACCGAGAATCCATCTGAAATCAAGAAAACAGGGTTTAAAAACTGACGTTTTAGTAGTGGCCAATATCGACTCTGCTGAAGCGATATTCAAAAGCACTCCGGTGGTGGTAGTATTGCTTACAGTGTCAGTCTGCTTCCACATTACCATACATCCTAGTTCAGCGGCCAACACACTCGGCGCAGCCACCCACTGAAACCCTGACTGAATGAGGTTCAATATCTTGTCTGAGGTCCCTATTTCTCAAGTGAAATGTACGTCTAACTCCAAAATGAAATGTCAATCCCTTTTCAGGAAGCTAAGGCACGAACAAAGTAGTAAGGATTCTGGCTATGCGCTAAGAAACGGGTGTTGGCAAAGCGTCTGTTGGGTTTTGTTTTTTTAATCAAGTCTAATCAGCAACTGAGACTGATAAACAGTCGCTACGGACTGGAAATCTTTGTGCCAGAGGCTGCCCAGGACGGGCAGTGCTGCCCGACCACGCTGCTGGGCCAGCCGCAGGACACCGAGTACTCGCAACTTTCCTCTGCTGCAGGGGGAGTTGCAGATGCTCGGCTCCACGCGGGACATGGCCCACAGGAGGAATTAAGTCCGTTTACCTTCATCTCAGATCGACTGAAAGGATTGAGAGTAAACCCGAGTTCTTCCTAGATGCGTTATGGTTGCTGATGTAAACTAAAGTTACATTCGGTTGCATTCACCTTGTGCTCTGTTCATCTGTGTTTTTCTTTCCTTTAGAAAGGTGACGAGAAAAAAAGCAATATTGAACAAATCATTCAACTAAAGATGTAAGTAAGCGAGCAATCTGTTTCACAGAAACCAGAGGAAGCAGTCATGAAGCAGAGCTAAAAGCCCACTTTGAGATAACATGCTCCTAAACCCAAAATCTAGGAGTAGTTTGCAGAATTTCAAAAGGTATATTCCTTATTAATACATCCTTATTTTAATGCCTTTGGAACACAAAACACATTTATAAAAATGTTATCTTTCAGTAATAAAATTTAAATACACATATGTATAAAATAGTAAAACTACACCTGCATATTGCTCCTAGAATTAAAAAAAAAAAAGTAGGAGCTACTGATAAAACATCCGGAGCATGAGCTCCTTAAATGGGAGCAACTTTTGTTTCTGTGAAGTATATTTAGTTTAACCACTTAAAACCTTGTATGAATCCTCATTATTGTTTGACAGATATTAATGTACGTGATTTCTATTTTTTAATTCCTTGTACAAAAATGACAAGGAAAAGAATGTTATTGTTGAACTACAGCAAATCTAGTTTGCTTTCATGCATCACAGGGTTGGGGTTTTTTTTTCCCTCTTTTGGTTATTAGGGGTTGGGGAATAGAATATATTGCATTAGGTAAAAGTGGTGTAAGCAATATGCTTTTACTTCACTCCTAAGAGTCCTGTCTTTAAATCTTGGCAATGGGCAAAAAGTCCCTAACCAAGTACCCAGGTGTAGAAAGTGTGATTAACATCTAACTTGTTGCTTAGGAGGACATAACACACCATGTAACACAACTGAAAAGATCATTCCAATAAAAAAAACCAAAAACAAAACCAAAACCTGGTATTTGCAAATTTACATTCACTCTCTGACTGCTCACTAGTATCGAACTGAAAATAGATACACACTTTCTGGCTGGACTTGATCCACCCTTTGGCGGTGGCAGCTGGGAGAAGACTGATGCCTACAAATGTGAATACACTATTGGAAGATTCCTATGCAGTACTCTTTCTATGCTACTAAAGAGAAAAAACAGCAAGTTAAGAATTAAAACAAAAACTGCGACAAAATATTCTGCATTCCTAAATTACAACACTTTTATATTTCAAGATCAGCCATTAATTTTGCCTGTTTCCCTCTACCAGAGTCATGAAAGCACAACAACACAGTTCCAAATTCAACTTGAAACATTTGTCATCTAGGCAAGCAGAGATTCTGTTGAAATTCTGTTCAGCCATGATTTTAGAGAATTAAACTAATTTTTTTTTCTTCCATTATCCATAACAGGCCACAAAAATTTAAGCCAGAAAATGGCAAAATTCTTAACACCTTTTATAATGACTTCAATACAAGTCAAAATGCTATATATATGTACATGTGTATATACTGACTTCTATATATACACACACAAGTTTTCAGAAAAATCTGAATTCTATATTTATTTTAAAAATTTAGATTTGTCATTATAAAACAGATCAGATGCGTCACCATTTGGGAATAGGATTTGTTTGGAAAGGGACTGGAGAATTTTTTTCCCAAATCTTCAGGAACCTTTGTGATACATATTTTAACTGGATTCTTTGCAAGTACTAAAATATATTCAAAGGTAAAAGTGGTAGTTCTACCACTGACATCAATAAAACAGAATAGCTGGTATGGTTGAAAAAGTTTTTAAAAAGCGATGAGTGTTGAGAGTTTGCTTGGGATGACTTTCTACTGAACATTTTAAATGTGTCAGTTGGCAGTGAAAATGAAAACAATACAATGAGACTGTTTTTTTTAAAAAAAACAAAGTAAACACAGCTGAGAATAAACACTTTCAAAACATTTTTAAAAAGTTAATTTAAATTTCTTACTGGCTTCATGAGATTGGTACTGTACAAAAGCGGAGAATTTATAATGTCTTATAGTAGGCACTAAGTTAAAAATGGTCACCTAAGGCATTTCTACAAATAGACAGTAACAAGCCAGCTTTGTACATCCTATTGGAAAGCTTGATGAAATCGTGGTAGGGTGGTGGTTGTGCTTAGACTGCTTGTGAAAGCTGCTGACAACGAGTGCAGAGACCCAAGACCTATACTATTGCTAGGATCTTGTGGATCCTGGGTTTGTGGTGGAAGTTGAGTCATAGAAGAATGTGCCTCCTCTTGCGTATAACTCATTCCGAGGTTTCCCACTGAAACAGAAGGATTATAGGGAGGGCCATTTACAGGTATGAAGTTGAACAGCTGAGAAAAGTCCAATGATGGGGTGTTTAGAGGTTCGCTAATAGGAACAGAGCCCTTGGAAAGGGAAACCTCCCCAGACCCATCATCTAGTGGCCCTACTTGTGGATCCAGCCCTAGTTTTGATGAAGATGCTTGAGAATCCTGGGATGAAGAAGGCATAGCACTTTGCAACTCCATTAAGTAACTTTCGATTTCCCCTTTCAATGGCTGTTCTTTTTCAGGCATAGAAATTGCGTATGAGGTAGTACCAAGCGGATATTTCAACGATAGCTGGTGAGAAGGGTGGACAGACTCCATATCTATTGGACAAGGCATTCCCAATGGTAACGATGTGGCAACCATTTGGTGTGCAGACGCAGAACTCTGCATGGACTGAATCTGAGTGTTGTAGAGATTTAATTGCAAAGTGTTTGTAAATGGCTTTGATGTCAGTTCACTGGAAGGTAAAGACATCACTGGAAGCAGCTCATCCTTAATAGGCACAGAAACATTGCAGGTAAAGGGATCTAGAAGGTCCATTGGCTCTGTTTTGACCTTCAAAAGTTCTTGGTTGTGACTTTTCTTCATGTGGCGTGTGAGGTGATCCTTCCGCCCAAATCTCTGTGCACAGTACTGACAGAGGAAGTCCTTTCTTCCAGTGTGCACTACCATGTGTCTACGGACATCCTTTCGGGTGTAGAACCGACGATCACAGTGTTCACACTGGTGTTTTTTCTCCTTCACTCCACCCGATGACTTGCCTGCGTGAGTTTTTAGGTGCTCCAGCAGCACTCCTGTGCTTTCAAAAGTCTGCAAACATACCTTACAGGTGAGGTCACCACTTGTTGCAGCATGCAAAGCCAGGTGACGTTTGAACCCAAGCTTGGTATTGTAGTTCTTTCCACATTCTTCACACTTAAAGGCCTCTTTGTTGGGATTGTGTGTATGTAGGTGATTCTTTAGGTGATCTTTTCGGTGAAACATTTTCTCACAATAATTACACTTGTGGGTTTTCTCAGGAGAATGAGTAGCCATATGCCTTTAAACACAGATATATTCTGTAAGTAATTATTTTGATCAAAAAACACACGTGCTCATTTTTTAATGGCAGCTAAATACTACACTAAGGGCTTCTTTGCAACACAACCTTTTAACTGAAAGCATGACACTACAATGACAGTTCGACAAATTTAAATATAGCAAACCGCGAGCCATTTCTCTTAAATCGACACTTTAGTTTTGGTGGGTTTTAGCTACTGTAACAGGGGTATATGGGCAAGTATGAAAGTACTCGTGTAAAAGTCCATAGCCAAAAAATTTTCAGTCCATACTCTTTTTTCTTGTGACAATTCCTTATACAAATGAAAATTCTATGCTCATTAAAAAAAAAAAAAAAACAACAACAAACAAACAAACAGAAAACAAAAGCAGAAAACAAATTAAGAAACAAAATCAAAGACATTAGCTTGCAAACTTAGGTAATTTAGAATTCTAGAAACAATCCAATGGCTACTTTAATTAACACATCCTCTCTGCAATCAGCTGAAGGCGTACACAAATATATACTTTTACACGGCTTAACACGGCCAACATAAAATAGATAATATAATCTGAAAGATAAATAGAGTTTAATACCTTAGTAATTTGTACTTAGAAACAAAGGCCTTGGTGCAGTCTTGTTGTGTGCACTTGTAGGGCCTCTCTCCTGTGTGAGAGTATGAGTGAACCTTTAATTTCTCAACACTGTTAAAGGCCTTGTCACACAGTTGGCAAGGAAAGTTTTTTCTTGGTTTGGTTTCACCACGCTTACGTTTCCCTGAAGGGACTTTCTGGGTATCTCTTACTTCTGACAAATCACCAGGAATGACAGTGGCCATCGCAGCCTAAACCAGGCCTTCTTGTTGGACACTTGGGAATTGCCCAACTCCACTAAATGATTTAGCTTTAGATGGCTTCTCAAGTTTCATGTGGTCGTAAAAGAAAGCAAAAGGGGACTGGAAAAAAAAAATAAGAAACAACTAGTTTGTAACTAAACTTAGATTTTGAAGTTTACTTGCTATGTGATGCTTCTGAATAAAACTTAAAAATAAAATTAGGTTCAGCTGGTCTAATGTAATACCTGTAGGTTTCTTTACACTATTTGCTGCAACTCTTAAAATGCATTGCTCAGGATGAACAGATCCACATATGCCCTGAAATCACACCTCACAACTTTCCCCTCAAGCCCTGATGGAGAACAGCAAAGTTTCCCTCAGATTCCGGGAGGCATCAGGCAAAGAGCCTACCTACCCAGACGGCTTTTTGGCAGCTTTGGATTTCAAAGGAATTAAAGCCATGCCTGTGGTGTTTGCACGGACACACGCACACATGCACGCATATATGCACACACACAGTTATCGAAGTGAAAACCTGTAAGCCTCGAAATGTTTGAAAACCTGCGTGAAAAGCAGCAATACCCATGCTGACAGTCTGGGGGGGCAAAGCTCATGTTCTGGGGCATACCTCCTCGATGTGATTACTGCACATCTAAGCATCTACTCTAGTAAAATGTACGCATTGCCAATGATTGCTAACGCCAGGTGAAACTCTCCTGTAAACTTACCCTCTGCTAACAGCAACTTGATGTATTAACAACAGAAATCCCACAGATTAGGGATAGATGAGATAGATTAGGGTTTTATCAGCCCAGCACTAGAGACCCCCACCCTTTTCAGGCCATCCTGCAAGACGTAGGGGCTCTAAGTGTTGAGATTTAGGCTAGTTCAGGACAGAGGCTCTTAGTCCTGCTGGGGCATGGCAAACCGTGCATTAAACCAGAGGCTCTCAGCTAAAGGAGGTGCATGACGCTCACGTCTGTCTTGCGGGTGAACAGCTTTAAATTCATCATCTGGTAATGTATAGTAGCAACTGGGCGCCTGCCATTACAGGGTGCTCAACAGCCCTCCTTTGTCAGGGGTAGCTGACAGCTTTTTCTCATCATTGGAGCACAATTGCTACTTTAGATACCAAAATCCAGCGCTACTCGTTGCCACAAGGGTCGAGCGTGAGGTCTGCGGCAGCGGGGGCGAGGAGGAGGACGGCGGGAGGACGGCGCTCAACGCAAGCATTGGGCAGGGCTGGGAAGCTCCAAAATTTGGTTTTTCTCCCTCAAAAGTGGCAACACCCCCCCAGGCCCGGGTGTCGCGGCTCGCAGCTGCCGTCTGCTCCGGCCTCTGTCCCCCGGCAGCGGGGCAGGGGAAGCCAGCAGCTGCTGGGACAGGTGGAGCCAGGCGGCCGGGAGCCGGGCAGGGAGCACCAGGCCGCAGCTGCTCCAAGCGAACACCACCTCCCCGATCAACAAAAGGGACTCTTCCCCGCTGGCAGCGAGGGGAGGCTGGAGAGCTTGGAGGAGCCTGGCCCCTGTCTCAGCTGTCCTCTCTCCCCAGCTGAGGCTCAGCAGAGACGGGAGCCAACCGCTCCAGAGGGGAGCGGAGAGCAGCGCCCAGGTGCAATGGGGGCAAAACTGAACGGCCTTTGCAAGAGCCCCAGTGTGGCCCTGGAAGCAAGTGGGGAGGAAGGAGAGCCTGTGTTTTTCTGAATGCACCGCAGGACAGGAGGGTGGGAGGGCAGGGAGGGGAGAAGGGGATGCGCCTCCTCAGCGTCTGCATTTTACGAAAGCTTCGGACTGAGATTTCCGTTTGAAACGTGTACACAGAGTACCTCTTTGTCTACGCCTCTTCCTCCCTCCTCCCCAAAACTTTTCCCTTGTCTTTACAAGATGAAACACTGGCACACCAAGATGGAAATCTGCTGCCTTTCAGCCCTATAGTCCTTCAATGGCAGGTTAAACTATGCTACTTTCTTTAAGCAGGAAGTTTTGTAAGACCACCTTTACTCCCCCAAATTCTATATGGAACCACTAACCTCTTTAAAGATACCCAGTAACAGAAAAGGTGTTTCTTTAAGGACTCTTATAATTTCAGATTTGTCTCTGACTCATTCCCACTCATGGAACGAAGCCTGGAGACATCAATTCCATGAGTGGGAACATGGACAGGTCTTCAAAGAATCAGCTTAATTTTATTTTCTGTCTCATAAGCGGCTTTCTAGCTCGTAAGTGAAAAAATGAAACAGTTGTTTGGAGACTTGAGACCAAAGTGTTTCTGCAATAAAAGTAAATGAAGACCAGTTCCAAAGACTTCAACAGAGCCACCAATGTAATCAAAAGGAGGGTCTGATTCACATCAAAGTTGTGATAAATTTGTGGATTGATTTTTCAATATATGCTTTAATTAGAATCTCATAATAAAATTGTGCTTTCTTGTAAACAAACACACTGGTCTACTATGCACATTGGCCTGAATATAGAACGAAATCTTGGTTTAGCCTAATCTCTCCTCACAAATGAAATCCTGGGAGAGAAAAAAAATCCAACCCACTCTACGCTTACACAGGGTGTACCTATACCACACGGGCACCTATACGAGACCTGCCGCACAGAGCCGACAGTGCACCAGCCGTGGCCCTCGCTGCATGGCTAAGGCCCCTATGATCTCAAGGGGTAAGAAAGGGCTACGGCCCCTTTCGCCTCCTTGCCAAATCCACACCTAGCCTGAGAGGGGCAGGCAGCATCAGCGGCAAAGGGCAAAGAAACTACCTCCTCTGCAGTCTGCTGCAGGGGAGTGTGGTTAATTTGACCGTGCCGGGTCCAGAGCTCAGCAGCAAGCGGCCTCCGTGCCCAGCCGGTGACAAGGGAAGCAGGCACAGCTGGTGGGATGTGGGGAGGGAGGGCGAGCTGCCGCGGGGAGGCACAACGGACAGAACTAGGACGGGGCTGTGGGGCCAGGGAGGTGCAGGGAGCACTGCATGGGGGTCGGGAACATCTCGGGACACGAGGATAGGGGTAAGCTGGTAACGCTGGGGGCAGGCGGGGAGGAACTGAATGTGCATCAGGCTGGGGAGATGAAGGGTCTTAGGCCATGCAGAAGGGTGATACGCAGGGTCTGATGGGAGGCCAAAAGCAGCGTTCATTGTGGGACAGCATATGAGGCTTAACTGTTAAATTAACAACTCTGACAACTTCTCATTCCTGTTCCCAATGCGATCGCACCTCAGGCTGGAGGCCATCCTATATTCAGGCCAATATAACATTACCGTTATCTTCTCCAAAACTTCAGGTAACCTAGTTGCTGTACCAGATGTAACTCAGAATGTTCTCATACATTAGGAATTCAGGTTTTGTTCCTCTATGAGCAAAACTAATTAAGCTGACTTTGAACTGTGTTTAAGTGTCCTTAAAAATGCATCATTAGAACAAATATAGTGTGGATCCAACCTTTAACAATGACAGTGTTTTATTAAAAAAACATGTACGCACTATTATCTCAGTACCATTTCTCAACAGATGAGGCAATTAAGAACTTCAGTATTGATCTCTGAATAGCAAATAACCACTTTCTTTTTTTTGTGGATATATAGACTGAGCAATGGAAATAAAACTTAAAGAAACACTGATCCTCAAATATTACACTTTCCAAAGACCAGCTGAAAGAATTTTATGAGTAATATTGCCTGTTTGTGTCTCAACATATTATCACTTAAAATCCTCATTCTTACTGGTGCTTTCACAACTGCAGGATGAATGATTATATGCAGTATCAAATATAACAAACACATTACACAAAAGCTCATATGTAGTACTATTTTTAAAGAAGCATATACTTAAAGCAGGATTAAAGCAGCCTCTGTTCAATGCACACCTGATGTTTGCCCACTAAAGTCCTCAGATTTTGGTCTTAACCAGTTCCGCTGACTCTTCTTGGAGGAAACCAGAATCCAGTACTTCCCATTTTTACTGGTCTGAAAAACAAAAGGAAGAATGGACTAGACTCCAGCGAAACCAGTATATTCAGAAAGGCTGGGATGCGGCAAGACCGGGGTTTGGAAAGAATCGGAAAGGAAAAGTTAAAAGGGATAGATCCAACCCATGCACAGAACATTATGTACTGTTAATTATAAACTGTAGGAATCAATCGGTCTTGCATTATCAGTAGCAATTATGCACTTCAATTTGCAGTATACTTACATCTTTTCAACTAACACTACGCTGGACAGTAACACATAGAGAGATAAAATGAGACAAAAGCAAAGGAGTTTTCAATAAAGTTAAAAACAAAACAAAAAAAATCCACAGACCACAAATAATTTAGAAATAATAGCGAAACATGTAAAATGCTGGGCCCAGACTTGAGGTTCTTACTCAGAAAGGACTGAATAAGAGAAGATTTCTGGATTAGGCCCAACTTTACTAGAACCTAATGCCTTCATTCTGCTTAATTATACAGGAAATAGCAGCTTAAAAGGTGACCTGTAAAGGAAAATAAAATTAATTTTAAAAAAATAATAAAGCCTCTTAATGATGTACATGCTACAGGTAAATCCCAATAGAGGGCAAGTCTAGGTGTGCCTGAGCAAATCCAGAGGGCCTTTCTGGAATTTCCCTTATATCTCCCTTTTCCCTGCCACCATCCTTTTGCAAATTTGCAGCATGTCTTCCTTTTCTTGCTAGAAGGCCTCCTGGATGACACAGGTACACGCGGAAAACATGTCCAGCGCCTCATTGTAAGGGGGAGGTTTATCGCCTCCAACCTTCCAGATACGTAAGGGCGAAGCCCTATACAGTACACATACCCCATGTGGCACAGCAGGCTGAAGGTATCTGGGCAGGAGCCCCGGAGTAAGGTAACATTTCCCCCCGCACATACCATTTTCCCTTCTCCCTTCCCATTCAGTCCAGTAAAGTATTCTTCCTTTTGGTACCGAGTTCAGCTTCGCACAGCCCCAGCCTCCTTAGCTGTTAAGCATGAACATGAGCAAACCGGCATCCTTGAACACCTATTAAAGGCAAAAGTGCTTCAGAGCAACCGACTGAAGCTCTCTGACAGCTGAGGAGCGTTTATTTGGGGCTTTGTACGTACAGGCAGGAGGCAGAAACAGCTCCAGTACTCAAAGAAAAAGTGAAAGCTTTGTTTTCAGCTAATGAGCAGGAGAGGGGGCACAACCCTCACCTCCTCTTTTGGAGGTTCCCAAATCACCTTGTTTCAGGGAGAAAATGCTGATGACTCCTCACTCCCTCTCCCACCAAGACCCTTATAAATTAGTTACCCTGTGATGCCTATCTCAGCATCTTCCACTATTGCAGCAGAAAGGAAGAGCTTCATTATCCAGATGTTTCTACTAACGTAGCTCACAATACATAGACAATATTTAAGACCAAGTCCTCACGGACTTAGTCCCTCCACTATTGGTATTTACAGACTATTTCCTGTTTGGAATAAAAAAACCAAATTCTATCTAAAATATTATAATGCCCTCTCAACAGTATTCAACATTTTCTTTTAAATGCTTATGGTGCTCAATTCTTACCACACATCTAAAGTCGCTCTAGCAAAAAGCAGATGCCTTCAGAGACAGGCCATTAGAGGCATGGAAAGACTATTGTATCAGGGCAACGGAAGCAACTGGAACAAGTAAATAAGCAAGATAAACACCAGATGTAGTTAAAATGCTGAAAAGAATGAAGGAGGAAGGTCAGGTACTCTTATTCATTACCTTATGAATATAGCAAAATCACAATGCCATGGATCCAGATGAGGGCAATGCTATACTTACAATTAGCTGGGATCTCAACTTCTACAAAACCATTATTAAGCAAAGAGCTTAACAACATACACACAAAAGGGGATAAGTTTGTATGAATAATGAAAACATCTGCTACATTTGACAGGATAAAGTGAAAACAGAAAATAAAAAAAATTCCTATGCTTTACGACAATAAATCAGGTATTGGATAAAAGACTTTTTCTTACGCACAGAATACAAAAGTTGTCCACGATAATGCTGATTTTTAGACCACCTTTCTCAGAAGCTTTTGGTGCTAGAAAATCTCTGAGGCAGAATACTGGACAAAGATGTACCATTCTTCTCATAACTGCGTATAGTTTTACTGTTATTAAGCCTTCTTCTCAACTAGATGAGACTAGGAACAATTTTTAACAAATAACAAAGCTCAAATTATTCTCCACGTGAAGTAGAGAAGCATCACGCAAAAAGCATTGTCATATGCACATGCCCAAAACCCACTTGGGAACTAGTACCAAAATATGACTTCTATTATTTGTCAGATTATAATTCTTAGAATTTATCAGACCTTCCAGTATCCATGAGGCACTAATTTTGCTAACTGTCCAAACACCCAGATAATTCCAGGTTAGACAGTATTTGAATTTCTACTATCTAAGGAATCAAAGAAATAAAAAAAAGTCCCCAAACCCTAAGATAAATAAGTTATTCCTGGTTTTAATATTAAAAAAGAGTAACATCCTTTTTTTCACAATTCACAGTTCATCTTCAAAAATGTGAAAAAATAGCTGCACTTGAAAAAGTTTTAAAACATTATTTGATGTCTAAACGAAAAGGATAATGAATACATTACACAAATACAACCAATAATCCTCCTCCTAACCTGCATTTCATGCTTTTCTTAAGAGTGCCCAAGCACAATAAAGGAAAACACCAGTTTCATGGTTATTTTCTTTCAAAATAAGAAAGCAATAATGAGAACCCAGTATTGAGAACAGAGTAACTGTCATTGCACCTTGTATAGAGAACAGTGAATGTCACTTCAATTCCTGAAATTAATCACTTTTAAACCAGAGGAGGGGTCCTAGAAACATTAGTCATAAGAATGGTGGAACTGATTAATAGTATTACAGAGTCATCCCGGGTTTTAAATATTTCTTTAAGGAAACAAAATGAAAAGCGGTTACTTACCCTATGGAAACTGTGATTCTTTAAGAAGTGCTGTCCACACAGATCCCAGGTGAGCATGCACTCACATGAACAGGATCAAGGTCTCTGACGACAGTAATGTCCATCCAGGCTGTGCCTGTGAACCCTCCCGACCGCTACCGGCAGTGGTGTAAGGCAAAGGGCTCCCGAACTGCGCCACGTACATCATCCCAACACCTAACGCGGTCTGCAGCAACGGCAGCTCCCAGCTCTGCTCTTCACTCACGCTGTGGGGCAAGAGCAATTACATGTGCCACTGCCACCAACGCGCTGCCTTGGGAAGTGGCAACCTCCCTCTTCAGAGGCTGCTGTAGCCCTGCCGCTCCCAAATCTGTGCTCCTGTCTCAGGGTTTTAGATGCTGATGTGAGGGAGCTGGCAAAGTGTGTTGTGGCTGATGAAAGGGAGCAGGGCCATGGGAGAGAAATATGTGGGCAAGAGTTGATGTCCCAGCCGGGAGCACCGTGTGAGGATGGGAAAGCTGAAACACAGACTGGCATCCTGGTTTGGGAAGAAGGAGGATGAACACGTGCAGCCCAAAGAAGCCAGGAGCTGCTGCTGCTCAGGGCGGTGATGGAGCAAACTAAGCTGAGGATGGCCCAATCTAACCTCTCTCAGGTTTGCCAACAGTAAAGACTTCTTCAGAGCAAAGGACAAGAGATCGCCTGTGGTGCCTCTACGGAGAACGTGCCTGGAACAGCCACAATTACTGTAGTGTAGACAACCATTTTTCTTCTTCTCTGTATCAGGTGACTAAAAAAAGTACTGACAGAGGAAACCTACTCTGTCCAAGCAGTCAGGGATAGCTGGGGGAGCTGAGTTGGAGGAAGCATCAGCAAGAGAGTCAGTATAGCCACTTACCGTGGCTCAGAAGAGCCAAAGTGACAGTCAGACAGCACCTCCACTACAGAGCAGCAGAACGAACTACAAATCTCAGAACATCTGCCCCTCAGCCAGGGCTGTTAAAATTGTGCAAATGTTGCCAGAGCTCCTGAAGATGAAGGAATCTACCCCCGGGTTAAGGCAACCAAAGAAGGAGCACCACTTAGCCTCCTCCTGCTTTTCTTGTGCTGTGGGCTTACATGCAAGTCTCTCCCTAGGCAGTTCAGTTTGTGGAGGTGCAGATTTAACCCTCCTTCCTTCAGACACCTCTGCTGGGACAGTTGTTAGAAGGAGCTGAGGGTGTAAGTGGCAAAGAACCTGCACCACTCCAGGACAGCACACTGCAGCACTGTAAGGCTCAGCCATCCTTCCTGGATCATCAAGGATCAATCTGCCTACTGCACACTTGCACTGACTTCGGAGCGAGTGGTAGGTCTGACTGACTGTGCAGAAAAATGCTGGACTTTTTGCAGCAGAAGACTCCTCTCAAAGTAGCTGCAGGTAGCAGAAGGTCTAGCTGCCAACCCGGGACTTCCAGTGGTCCCTCTTACAGAGTATTAGCTTTCAGTAAGGGAGGATCTCAGCTGGAGAAGTTGATCCCATCAATGGAAATAGTCAAGCAGGTAAGAAAAATCCATTGTTGTTGAAGTACTGATGACTTCTGGCATGCCTTTCTCTGTGTTGAATTAAAATCAGTCTTCTGAGTGATGCAGAGGTCTACATCACTGTTCGTGGCAGGCCATCTGATCCACATCTTATTTGAACAGCACGTCACTCTAAAGGAGACAGCCAGCGAAACCTGTTCACCTTTGCCCACGTTTAGAAGGAGAATCCTGTCTTTGGTAGGAAGATGCTGATTCTCCCCCATTTGTTCTTGGCTGGATGGGGCCAGAGGGGGAAAGGGGCAACAAAAGGAGGTGATTCTCTGTAGCCCAAGTTCTCCTACATCTGGAAGCTCAAGCTGAGGCTTTGATGCTGAAGGACAAGAAAGAGGGAAAATGGGCATTGCTGGGGTGAAACCATTAACCAGAAGGTAGGTTTGACCAGGGAGCCTGCCTAGGCCAGGAGCAGCTTGTGCCTGCACCTTCACAAAGTGATACTTCATTTAATTTTCTGCCTGTTTTACTGTG